CAGCATCACATTCAACTAGGCACCGGAAGAAATTGAAAGGAATGAAATGAATTTTTATTGTTAGTATAGAAGAGAATAGTATACTGTCTCTAATTAGTACAAGATAGAAAAGACAAGATGACGTAATTCATTTCAATTGTTGCGGTACATCTAATTACGTTTTCCACAGTTTCATAACATGTCTTGCTTAAATATACTCAAATGTAAATGATTCAGTTTGATTTCCTGTACTGTTAAGGGGATGAAGCTGAAAGTCACCACCAAGTTGCTTACACTGTCAAAGAATATTTCTGCTTGAGCAAAATGATAAGAAAGTTGGGTTAGTGTTGGTCTTAGAAACATGGAAGCGTAATTCGAAGTGCCCAAGTGACAACTGTTCGAGGCTAGTCACGCACGGCCTCTTTATAGGGAGTTTTTATTGTGTTAGCTCCTGTCTTCTTAAAACGCTTTATCGCTGGAGACAGAAATCCTTGAGGTTAGGTGAAGTGCGACAATTTTTAGCTTCAACATTATCTAACCTCTTCCTTTCTATGTGACAAGACAGTGTCGCTGTAGATGCTGGTTGTGCGAGGGAAACTGCTCACAAACACTACTGGTCTACAGTCAGCACAGTACGGCTTTATCCCCAGACCTTGAGTTGCTGCTTTAAGTCGACCTGAGTGGCATGTTAGAACCTGAAAGAAATATACGTTTCAGCCGATATAGCTTGGAGTGGTCAATTACAATAGGCAAGCCTAACCAATAATACGTTTAGGTAGTAGCAAAGGTCAGGAAATATACATGATGATTAGAACAATGTTGAAACAATTTCGAAATTATTACATAAGATGTTTCAAAGATACTTTTTTTATCATGATTATAAAGAACTGATATCAGATGGAAAACAGTTATAAAACTAAAGATTAATACTAAACAAGTATTTCGCTTTGAAAGTGATACATTTTGTCTCATTTGCATATACACTAATCAGCTTCACATCACAAGACAAGGCTCAAACTGGGAAAGTTTGAAAGCTTAACACAATACCTTAAATCCATTGTATATAAAATACAGTGATGAACATAAAAACTGAAAAGATTTCATTCATTGGAACTTTTCACTAAGTTTCAAAGAATAAATTACATTCTGCTTGAACATTGTAGTAGTCAATCAGTCTTCTACAACGTCGTAGAACGTGTTGTACATACATCGGTTCCAGTTGCTCTGCTACACATTAGCGCAAACAGACAGAGAAAAAGTTGAACAGTGGATTCAAGTACGAAATTAAATTTCAGTTCACATCAAATAATAGTGATTTTATAGTTCATCACCAAGACCAATAACCAGTGGGGTTATCCAGGGAAGTGTCTTAGGTCCACTCTTGTTTCTAATGTACATTAATGACATATGTAATACTATAAAATTTGGAAGAGCATACTTATATGCTGATGATCTGAAAATAGTATACAGCTATAAGCCTAAAGATCTGGACGAAAATATAGCTAAGATTCAGAGTGATCTTGATAACTTAAGTACCTGGAGCGAGACATGGCAACTGCCGTTTAACCACAACAAATGTGGCATAATGCATTTTGGCAGGCATCACCCTGATTCACCAGTCTACTTACAAAAATGTAGGGTTCAGACACTCATATCAGCGCGTGACCTTGGTATTAGTTACTCTAAAAGCCTAAAATTCGAAGAACATGCCTCAAATATTATCTCTAAATCTAGACGACTCATTGGGTTTATAAACAAGAACTTCTTCACAAGTGAGGCTAAGCTTACTCTCTTCAAAATCTGTATAAGGCCCACACTTGAATATTGTTCACTCATATTTTCAAACATGAATATCATGGACAAAATGCGAGTAGAAAATGTACAAAGAAGCTTCACCCGGCGACTACTCGGATTGAGCAATAACCTCGACTACACAGAAAGATGCAAGCATCTTTCCCTAGAACCTCTATGGCGCCGTCGTCTCAAAAACAACCTAATGCTCCTCTATAAACTAATAAATGGTCTTTCGTTCGTAAAATACCGCCCAAATATGAACCAAGACACTGCTTACAGACTTAGAAACAACGCATATACACTATTAACGGCAAAACACAAAAAATCATTGCGTTCTAATTTCTTTGTAATACGATACAGTCTACTGTGGAACAGGTTACCAATCGCTATTCGTATCTGTGACACAATCACTAAGTTCAAGAAACTAGTTATGCTGTTGCTAGATTCTAAAGAGATTTATCGACTATTCCCAGAACTCACACAAAGTCCCCAGGCACTCTTTTATGGTCCACCAAATATTTAGATAAACCTCAGAAACTAATTATAGACTATGACCATATTGTGTTCTCATTACCACCCATACATGTATCATGAAATGGTAGACAAATCCCCCTGCTCCTACTAACAGCAATAGGTTACGCCTTTGAGGTGTTAACCGTGACTTTTCTCTGCTTTTAAATTCCAATCATTATTTTCATATCTTCATAGCAGTTTTAGTTTTTATTTCTAGTAGACAGACAAATTGACAAGCCTGTAGATGCTGATCAACTACTGTCAATTACAAGGAACTCAAACACCATGTATAATTGTGAGTATCTTCTTATTTACGTATTAACAGTTTAACTAATTTTTATTTCCCCAATTCATTAACATCCAAACACCTTGCCTGCTTACCAACTTATCGCTTTTCTCATTAATTTTTAACATTATTTCAACTCTTTTTTTCTCCTTCTCCTCGTTCCAGCTCCCTGTCCTTCCTATTTCCAAACTACCTATTGACTGACTCATCTTACAAATCATACCATTCGTTTACTTAAAATCAGTGTGATATGCTATGTGGATATATTATCTGGCAAAGTTGTCTGGATTGCTTGTAATATGGAGCTAGTAGAGAATGTTAATTCCGATAAGGTGTACAAAAAAAAATTGAGAGTAGACTAGAGACCATTATTTACAATTAACCATTAGACGTAAGAGAGCCTAACATCACAAAAGGAGGGAGGGTGGAGTTTCTGACCAGCATTCATGACGGTGGGGCGATAACCTCAATCTACCCATGTCTGTGTGGCAGAACATTTTGTTTGCTTACGGCTCCTTACGATATGGCAGGATGTAACAAATCAGTGATATTGATGTTACTTTTCCTTGTTAACCTCGTCTACAACTCATGTCTGTAACCTTGCACTGGTTTCTACTTCCTACCGAGAAATCCTATTACAAGCTGGTCTGGATAACTATACTAAAAAAGAGCTCATTCATAATTTCTTGAGCTGCAGAGTTAAAAATAAAAAGAATATATAAAACAAAAAATTATATCACTGAGCCTCTTTATTATATTTTGTAAATCAACATTATTACTAACAACTTGGTACTTCTGAATTTCCTCTGTTCTTTCGACTAACTTCCCAATAGTTATCTCACCAATAATTTGTCTTCATTAACCTACATAAGTGCAGGTGTACAGTAATGATATTAAAAAAGTCTGAGTAAACATACCTTTGTTTTATCTATAAACGTATTTTCTGTTCCGCTCCTCGTCCCGTCTTCTTTATTCCTCTTTTTTCAGAACCTTATCCCACTCCTCATATATTAGTCTGGATTTTTGCAGTAGACTTGGTTACCCTACCCAAGAACATGTAAAATCATTAGCTGATGAATATCAACCATACCTTTGTACATTTACCGCATCAATTCTTGTTATATGCAAACCTATCTCTACCATGAATCGTTTCTCAGTCCATAAGATGATTGTCGTAACGCAACCTTCGTAACTTGCGCCAATTATTCGCATTGAACATTCCATCTTTAAGAAAACAATGAATCTTGTGAAATGTTTCAGTAAATATATACCGTTTTAAAAGAAATATGTTGTTAATCTTAACATTTTGATCTTGCCTGTAAATTGGCATGTCTCTTGTAACATGTTTGTTATTTGAGAATAAATTATTATTATTATTATTATTATTATTTTAGGTTTTCTTTTTTCTATTACTGTGATCGAAGAAACAGTGAAAATTCACAATTTAACTGTAGATTGAACATGATATATTTAAATGATACAGTTCTCGCTCAGTGTTCGAATCCTCTGAATCAGCACATAACAGAATGGTAATTATATATATATATATATATATATATATATATATATATATCACTGACCACGGCTTCACACTGGAACCGATGAGAAGTTTCTCTCAGCTTTTCAAGTACTGAATGACTGACTCTATATGACTGTTCCATTTTCATACTTATTTTCAATAGTTTCTTGATGGAAGTGTCTTTCTGTTGTCGTTATTGCTGTTGAAACAACATGACATTTACATTGATCACCCAAATGTTTTGTGCTTAAAAATAATTTTCAGGTTATATTCATTACAGATTGATTGTTTCTAGGTAATTGGTAAAAACTGATACCTCTATTTGTAGACTAATTCAAGTCCGTCACATTGTATGATTACCATAACGAGATCACATTATCGAGAATAATACTAGAGTTAATAGACCACCACCACCACCAGTAGAAACATCGAAGCAATAAAAGATGGCCATTCCACGTCCTGGTATAGGACTCATCAATGGCAGTAGTGCTCACTCAAGTGACTAGCTTCGCGACGAAATTCTCGGAGTTTAAATGAGAAGACGTGACCAGTGGAGGTTAACTCCGTAGGGTATGAAGTCGCTCAAAATCCTTAAAATTGATCTGAGTTAGACATTAACACTGTTAGATGTCAGCCCAATGGTCCAGATGTTAAATGTTCGCACACAAGACCAAAGGTCCTGGGTTGGATTGGAATTCTACGAGTGTTGGGAGTCGTGCATGTGCACTGCCACTGATGAGTCCCACAACATCAGGACGCGAAATGGCCATATTTCTTCAGTGCTTTCAGATTTCTACTACTGCTGGTCTAACAATGATTGATTAATGACTCCCAACAATAAACAACAATTTCTGTCATTCCAATCATAAACAAACAAAAAACAGACAATATAATTCATTTCAAAATTACCTTGAACATCAATTTCAAGATCATATGGTTTTAGTGATTCCACATCGGAATTACACCAATCACATCGAATTAAACGTCCAACACCAAGTAATGAATGTCCAATAGGAAATGCACAACAATTAGTCATTTGATCAAAATTATTCTGATGTGTTTGTGCACTACGTATGGATTCATTTAATATATGATAAATATATAATTCACTGAAACGACCAATATTAGACGATTTATCTGTGGTATTATTGTTGCAAAGCATACGATGCAAACGTTTAATTAAATAATCTGGAAGATGAGTATTTTCACTAGTTGACCAAAATGTTGTTGTTGTTGTACAAGCTTGATCGATTGTTTGATTGAGTTCTTTTGATAAATGAATAAATGGAGTGTTGTTGGCAGTAGTAGTAGAACCAAAGGCTAAAATGGAATCAGTATTCAACAAAACGACTTGACATTAATATATATACATTTGTTTAAGTCAGTCATTCAGTTGCAACGTAGAACTTCGTACGTAAGTACATCAGTTCATGTAGCCATACTTACATTAGCACAGAGATGTAATTGTTAATTCAAATCCAATAGTAGAAGAGGTAGTAAAGGTATTAGAAATAATCGGAGAGGTTAGGATTAGAAGATATTATTCAAGAAGTATGATTCAATGAGAAAAGTTTAGAAAGACAAAACTAGAGGTGTTGAAGAATCCAGAAGATTAGGATTTGAGAGAACACAAAGAATAAATGCAAACCGCGCCATTGCAAACGATTTTGAGCCATGTCATTCACCGTCTCTAACCATCGATTATTATCATCTGGCGGACCCCAACCAGGTAGTCGACAATTACCGACATGACACAATCCACTCGTCAATGACTTCATGGAATTCTGCCATGTTTTAGTCTGGCCGCCCCTCACTTTCTTCCAACCTACTCCTACACTACAAAACAAAGCTCGTCGAGGCAGTCGGTGATTAGGCATACGCAGCACATGTCCCAACCACCTCAGCTAATCAAGTTTCACTACTTCATCTATTGATCTGCCATTCTTACCTAGCACCCATTTCCTAATAACAGCGTTGCTCACTCGGGTGTCCCAGGTTATACGAGCAATGCTTCGGAGACACCTATGATCCAAAACCAGTAACCTACGAATATCTTCCACACTCACTGGCCATGTTTCACAGCCATAAAGTAAGACGGAGCGAACTACTGCACAGTATACTTGTCCTGTAGTCAGCAAACGTGTAACTCGCCTACGCCATAAGTGACGCAGGTCGGCATAAGCCAATCGAGCCTTTTGTATCCGAGCTGAGATTTCGTCAGTCACCAGGCCATCGGCACTGATGAGACTCCCAAGATAAGTGAAGCGGTCTACACGTTCGACTACTTCACTCCCTATCACTAGTTCAGGTGCCGATGAAACCCAGTCTTGAAGCAACATTTGTTTAAAATAACTGACGATACGTTATTAGAATAAATGAAAATAAAATTACGGAGAATAAAACTTGTTTAGAAACATTAAACCGTAAAGTCTGTGTACCATCTCTTAAAGCTGCCAAATGCCCCACCAGTATGCGGGGGAGAGGAATCAATTCGCCCATTCATAAAAATATTCTCACATGAATACGTGTAAATACAACAATCAGGGGTGTTATTCAAGAAATTAAGCGGACGAAAACAAAGTGTCCAGCACTTAAACTTGCTTGATAGGTACAGAGGATTCACCTATGGGAGATGGAAAACTCAGTTTATAAACCAATAGTGAATATGAGCTCTGGAATTTCGAATGACGTATGAAACGTTAGTCAGACACCTGGCTGTCGTATGATCACATATTATTATGTTCTTCCAGTGTAGAATGGGGTTAAACCTTTTGGCCAAGCATGCTCCGGTGAATGACTCTTTAAAATGCTACCTGGTTCGGTTTAGGCACTCGGTCAGTATCTAATCGTATGTGTAGAGATTATTTACTTCATATTAGTAAATGTGTTTATCTGTTGACATTTTTCCATATAGGAAATCTAAAGATGACGCGGAAGAACGAAAACACCAAAATATTGTGTAATGAATTTAAATCACTTGATCATAACTAAGAATCAACTCAAACACTGTAAATGATTCATGATCTAACCACATCTCACGGCTTTACATATAGAACATTATATCTTGGTATGTATATTGATTGTTTCATTGAAATTCCTTTGTAATATTTTTCATATCTTCAAGTTTGTTCATAGTAAACTAGTGAAAATTGTACACATATGCAATGAGATACCGCTGACTAGATAAAAGAATTTCAGAATACAACTTAACTAATGATGAAATAATATTTTGGTAAACTCTTTCATTCTCCATCTCGATCAAGTTTATGATTACATTGCCAGATTTGATTTGATTCTCAGTCGCTGTCAAGACTTCTTCAACCATGTTTCATGCCTTTCAGTTATAAGTATTCAAGTTTGTTTATTTTTTACTTTTGATGTTGTACTGCATGTCAGAAGCTAATACGCGGGATTAAATTTGTAATTCAATGTTAGTTGGTATGTTGAGTAGGAAGTGCACTAAGCTTACTGGTTGACACAATGAAATTCTCTTCGGGGCTTCTCTGCATTTTAATCGACAAATTCGTCAATGGTTCAGGATCATTATAATCTGCATTCCCGGTTCTAAACAAGTCCTCCAAGGTTTCGCGGGCTATCACATGTGACTGTCCAAATAGCTGTTTTAAAATAGCCTTAGCTCTCTTATATCTCACTTATGGATCCATTATAAGACAACCTTCAATCGCAGTTCTTGCTTTTCCTTTACAGTATGGAATTAAATTTAAAAAACGCGAATTATCGTCCTTTACTCTAGGTTCTATAAACGATTCAATTTGCTTAATAAATCTAAAGTAGTCGCGAGGGTTGCCGTCAAAGTAAGGAAGTTCAACCTTAGGTAATTCTAAGCCTACTATCGGTGTCCTAATCATCTGATCCTTCTCTGGTACCTTCGAATTCTCACCCAAATTTTGTTCCTCAATGCCTTCTAAGGGTGACTTACAATAATAAGTATCAAACATAACATCATCGCGAGTAGAGAGGAAACCCATTAAACAAGAATCACTAACGACTTGCCTAGCATTTCGGGATTCTTCATGTTCTTCCACCTTCTTCGTGTTTGTTTTCTTGCGGCTGCTCATGTTTAACTGAAGCTCAACGGAAGACAAATAACAAATACAAAATATAGTAATTCCACCGTTAAATTCTCAATAAAAATCCAAAAGGACCAGAAAATCGTTTTTCAAAATACAGTTCGATCACAAAAAAACGATAAGTAATCCAAAGTTCTTCTTCCAGGAAGTTTAATATTATAAACGATTTAAATTTCAGATATTTCCTTATTCTTCCTAATAATCAGATTGTAGTAGGCTTGTTCTTCTCAATCGTTAGACTGTAGTTGGATTTTCTACCGTAGCAGTTCAATTCGATTCCAATAGACGTATGTTGGACGCACCTTCCGTTATTCGAATATCAAAACACAATAATTCTAGGAGAAAGTGGTCTATTTATATAGAAGAAATGGAAATACAAACGTTACCTAACGGTTTTTACGTCTTCCAATTCGAAATTACTCTGCTGAGTATCCAGGTTCCAGAGACTAGGTGAAACTCGTATACTGCAACGATATCAAATCCAAAAATGTGGCTGTAGCCATATTATATCAAATTTAAACAACATGTGTACAGTTCAGAAGCAAACATAAAAACTCCAATATAAGTACAAAATATAGAAATAATAACAATATACAATGATAAAATCTCAAATTGGAATCAAATAAAATACCAAAATGTCAACAGAAAGAGTCCATCATGTCATGTGGATATGGTTCTTACCCCGTCGCCACTTTTATGTTTTGTGCTTGATGTAACGTCAACCACCGTACTAATGACACCCGAACGTTAGACTCCTCCGTTCAAAGAAAGAAGACGGAAGACGTTGTAGAACACTTCTTGTCAGAATCAAAAATATACAATCAAACATGCGTATTTATACAATTATATAAAAGTCGTTAATTATTTGAACATGCTTCAAATAGTTCGTCAGGAACGATAATCATATAGTTCATCATTAATGAAATAGTTTATCATGAACATTAATCATATAATTCATCATTATTGAAATAGTTTATCATGAACATTAATCATATAGTTCATCATTAATGAAATGGTTTATTATGAACAAAAATCAAATAGTTCATTAAATCCACAATATGCGTGGCTTTATTCTCGATTGACTATCCCAACACCTCCCCGGAATAAGATTTTTTTCTTGGGTCCACTTGTAGTCTTACGACTGGTTTGCGGCGGCGTTCCATTCTGGTTATGGGGTTTCGAGTTAATGTCTCCAACCTTCCCTTTTCTTCGGCATTCCGGGGCAAATGTGCAGTTGTCGGTTCTGTGATCAACTCTAGGGGTAGATTCACGCGATTATCACCCGAGCGTGCCATTCTTTGATCCCTTCGCATTTGGTTCGTGTGTCTAACACAGCTTCCGAAAGCTCCTATGATTCGATACAAAACTCTTCCTAGTCTTTGGACGACTGTTCCTGGTTCCCATTGATTTTTACCACGATATGTTTTTAGGAACACTTTATCGCCCACGTTGAAGCTGCGAATATTTTGATTTGGCCTATATCTATTCGCTCTTTTAGGGGGCAACATCGCGTTAAAAATAGTCCGAATACGTCTTCCAAACATCGCTTCGGCTGGAGACTTCCCCTCTGGGACCATAGGGTTCGGAGTGCTTCTGTAAGCCGTTAAAAACCTCGTGATTACTTGGCTAGTTGGTCCCTCATCCCCCCCTTTCAGTAAAGCTCTTTTGAAAGTGTCCACGAAGCGTTCAGCCTGTCCATTCGATTGGGGGTGGTAAGGTGGGGACCGTAGATGCGTTATGCCGTTTGAACTGCAGAATCGCGTGAATGAGTCGGCAAGAAATTGTGATACATTATCAGTGACCAATGTTTCTTGCATTCCGAAACAACTTAATAAGGTTGACAGCTTCTGAATAGTTTCTGAGGCTGTACGATTCGGCATGCTGTATATTTCTGGCCATTTCGTATACGCATCTACAGTGATTAGAAACGTTTTACTTTGGATTGAGCCAGCGAAATCTGCATGAATTCTCTCCCAAGGTCCCGTAGGTTTCTGCCATTGTTGAGGCTCGCATTTCGAAGGGTTTTTCGCGGCGTTTGTGCATTCGCCCAACGCTTCTGGACATACGTGATGATGCCTTTCTATAATGGCATTTCCCGGATTTGACTCTAAAGGGTTATTGATTCTTACTCGGCAGCAGATATTGTTGATAGAATGGTCTGTTAATTTTAATGCATCTATGAGATCCAACCCCAATACATCAAGGTCTGGGTTTTTAGTTAGGTATACA